TTAATGATCAACTACATTAATCATTATAGAAAAACTGTGAGCACTGGGCAACTAAGACCCCCCCCCCCCCCCCCCTAAAAAAAAAACTACATGCTCTAAAGAGCCTGTGTCGCTCACCTGACTCTATTTGGGTTTTTGAAATCATATAAAAAAGATAAAAATCATAACACATACTTTAATAATGATTGAGGCCATATTTGGTTTAATATTGTCGTACTTCGCTTGCGGCCATCTTGGATGATGGATCGGCTACAGAGTAACAACACTTGGTCAACACCTTATAAGGAACATTCATGCTATGTTTGGTTTCATTCCATTCAGTGGTTCTCTAAAAGAAGACATTTGTATGTATTTCCTATAGGGTCCTATCTTAAACTAAGTCAACCGCTGCCGGCCATCTTGGATCAAGTAACAACTCTTGGTCACCACCTCATAAGGAACATTCATGCCTTGTTTAATTCCATTCCATTCAGTGGTTCTCTAGAAGTTCAAAATATAAAAAGTTAAAAACGGCGACGGACGACGACAGACGACAAGTAATGAGAAAAGCTCACTTGGCCTTTCGAGCCAGGTGAGCTAAAAAAGGACATGCACACAGTGGTATACATTGAAACAAAACATGAAAATAATTTGGCTCCATTTAGGGATATTGCAAGTGTATATAAGTTTAAGGCCGTGATTTTTGAACAAATACAATTCTAAAACCTTCCAAAGTGTGAAAATGGACAATTTTAAACAATTTTTCAACAACTAAAATTCCATAACTCTGCATCTTATATAAAAATAAATAGGGGATGATACTCCGGCTTGCATATCATATAAAGTTATAAAGGAAGATTACTAAGAACGGTAAAATTTATTCTACTTAAATTTGAACTTGATCTGATTTTGTGGTAAAAAGTATTGCGTTAAAGTTTAATGAAATTTGGTTGAGGCAAACTTAATTTAGAGGACGGAAACGAAAAATTCATCATTTTTTCCATTTGTAAAGGACATAACTCTAGAACAGTAAAAGTGACACCACCAAAATTCAAACTGTTTTTTGTGGTAATAATCATTGTGTGCAAATTTCATAACATTTGGTTGAGGCAAACTAAAGTTAAAGTTAGAGAGCGGGAAACCAAAAATTCAGCAATTTTTCCATTTGTAAAGGGGCATAACTCTAGAACGGTAACACTGACACCACCACACTTGATCTGAGTATTGTGGTAATAAGCTTTTGTAAAAGTTTTATAACATTTGGTTGAGGCAAACTTAATTAGAGAACAAAAACCAATGACTTTGGGACAGACGGTCAAGGGTTGACCCACTAAGGGTCATAAAAATGAAAAGGGAGTTTATGTCAATATATAAAATCAATTCACCAAAGTTTCATAACAATTGGTGAAAGCATTCTTGAGACTATCCAAAGTCCCAATATACAACAAAAAACTTAAATCAGAATTTTTTTAAAATTGAAAGGGAAATTATCATGATTATCAGTCAGGGATATAACTCTATAGGGTTATTACAGAAAATAACTTGCATTTGTTATTACAGATACTTTCATGAGTTGTCTACTCTTAAATCCTTAAATTTTCTAAATCTGTAATAACATATGTTTGTTATTTGTAAAATAAATCATAAATATTTTGATTTTTAGTAGGCTCTAGGGAACTCTGGAAACTTTGCGCAGAAACTAAATGCATAGCCTTGATAACTAATTTTTGAATTAAATTAATACATTTTTCATTAACCATGGCAAATCAATGAACGAGGCTTTTAAGGGATAAACTTAGCTGTAATAACAAGGGTTATGTTGTACTGTTACACCACTGTCCCAGGTTAGGGGGAGGGTTGGGATCCCGTTAACATGTTTAACCCTGCCTCATTCTGTATGTATGTGCCTGTCCCAAGTCAGGAGCCTGTAATTCAGTGGTTGTCGTTTGTTTATGTGTTACATTATTGTTTTTCGTTCATTTTTTGTACATAAATTAGGCTGTTAGTTTTCTCGTTTGAATGGTTTTACATTGTCATTTCGAGGCCTTTTATAGCTGACTGTGCGGAATGGGCTTTGCTCATTGTTGAAGGCCGTACAGTGACCTATAGTTGTTAATTTCTGTGTCATTTGGTCTCTTGTGGGGAGTTGTCTCATTGGCAATCATACCACATCTTCTTTTTTATATTAGTTATTAAAGGCATTTAACTTGTTATATAAGACACTTGGGAATTACTGGGAAGCTTGAGCAGAACCTCATTACATGCTCTGATCATTATTTCTTACAATAAATTAAAATACATTGTAATTAAGCATGATGAATGTCTGAGCAAATGCTTAGGAATGATGTAGAGGAGCTGTAATAACACCCGTTAGTTATTATAGGCATATTTTTTTCAGTAATAACATAGGTGTACTATGCATGATTGGCGAGCTATGAACTGTTATATCTTTCTATAGTTAAGTATACATAAAGACAATAGTAATATCAATAGAACCTGTGTACATTTTAAGAAAAATAATGATGTATATTGTCCCTTTGAAACATGTAACATGCATATGTTATCACAGTTCTTTGATTTTTTAGTCCACAATAACAAATGTATGTTATTTTTCTGTAATAACCCTATACATGCTATAGCATTTCCATTCTCAATTTTATAGAGTTATATCCTTGACTGATTATGTTAATTGGCAATATTAGTAAATGCATGCAATAATTTCTGAAATTTACAGTATATAGGCTTTTAACCCCACCATATGTTTGCACCTGTCCCAAGTCAGGAGCCACAGTGTCATTTGTCAGTTGTATGATTTTTAATTTTAATTTCTTTTATATATTTCGGAGTTTAGTATGACGTCCATTATCACTGAACTAGTATACATTTTTGTTTAGGAGCCAGCTGAAGCACGCCTCAGGTTGTGGGATTTTCTCGCTGCATTGAAGTCACATTGGTGATCTTCGACTGTTATCTGCTCTTTGGGCGGGTTGTTGTCTCTCTGACACATTCCCCATTTCTATTTTCAATTTTATTTCAAATTCTATTATAAATGTTAGGCTTCTTGTTTTTTTTGTTTTACATTTGTCATTTGGAGGCCTTTTATTATATTTACAGCTTTCTATATGCATAGGTGCTTGAGGACAGAATCCTGTTTTGAGCCCCCCCCCCCCCCCCCCCCCCCCCCCATAGTCCCTCCCCCTTCTTATCATAAATCTTAGATTTTTCAATATATGTCACTTAGTTGATTTTTCATGAATATATGTGCCATTCCAATATGAAATAGCTATATCATATTAAAAAAACCTTTCAACTAGGATACTCATTTGGGGAACTAATGATTTGTTGGGTTTTCCCTAGTCCAAATAAATATGACGTCTGGCAAGGCTATTTTAATTTTTTTTTCTGGGACGCCTAAATAGCCTTGCAAGACGTCATTTTCCCCACCATCGACATCGTCCTGTGGCTGTGGAAGAAACGAATTTGGCGCATTAACAAAAAGATCATGTCCGTAGTGACAAGTTAGTGTGCTTGCTTACCAATATTTGAATTTTATGAGCCTTCTTTTTGAATATTTTCTTCATTTTTTGGTACAAATTATACTGATGTCGAGTGCTGTTGTTGTGCTGTTTATTTTTTACAAAAGCGATCAAGTAATGCAGGGGAAGGACACTTACTTAAAAGACCAAAAATGAGCCGCAACTAATAGGTACATAAATATTTTACTATGCAGTCAGTATCCCGATATACATGTATATACTCTTAGTCTCATTTCACAGCGTACAAGTGAAAATACTCGTTAGTCATGAACATTTTAGATCACTTTAAATTTAGATGTTATAACTTAAATTACGAAAGATGATAATTTGTCAAATGAGCCCCTGTAACCAGGTGCTGCATTTTTTTAGCACGCGTCAAAAACAGTTAAAAATGCCGGGATCTGACAGAGCTTTCAAGAGCTATTTCTGTTACTGTGAGTTTTATTATATATTTATCACAAAAAGCTAATGCTAATTTCTTTTCTTTTAACATGAAGCCTCCACCCCCCCCCCCCCCCCCCCCCCCCCAAAAAAAAAAAAAACCCTCCTCCAGCTTATCTGATTAATTCACGATCACTCTGAGTAAAGAAAGTAAGTCACAATTGCTTTTATCAGGTATTTTAAATTCTGGTTGATAGTTGTCTCATCACCAATCATACTACATCTCCTTATTTTTTTTTTTACAATAAAGCTATATTTAGATGCGGTATAGTGATGAATGTGTAAACATGCAGCAGTCTTGTAAATAATTGTTAGAATACAGCACAAAAGATGCATAATATATCAAACTCGAGTCAACGCCATGTCAAAAACTAAAAACAACAACAACAAAAAAACCCGACCAAATGACAAATAGTCTATAAAAACAAACTATAGCATACCAAAATATATAAGTTGTAAAGACTTGCATGCAACTAGGCCTATATATATACAGTAGCTCTATGTTCTTATAGATCTCATAACATTACGATTAAAAGTTAGATTATGTGTGTGTAAGTTTATTAGAAAATTCAACGAGACACGTCCTAATCAGGTAAAATCCAAAATAACAATTTACAAATTCAGATCTACTGCCTGTTGTATATTGCTTACATGATTGTATATTGGCGAACGAATAGATATGTTTGGTACGGGATGGCGGCTTCGAAGCGGAGACAAAAAGACCAAGATAGATGAAAGTGTAGAATTTTGTTGTTGAGAATTTTTTTTTTAAAGAACTAGATTCGTATCTCAGAATTTGAATATAGCATCTCGTTTTCTTTAGATAAATTGTTAGCTTTTACTGGCTATAATAATTACCCCCTTATAAATATTCGCAAAACATGAAGTTAATGATCAATGAATATGAAAACACTTAATAAAGTATAAATATTGGTAAACGGACAGCAAGTCATAGGACTATTATAGTTCGAATAAATTAGTTTACAATAACTGTTGAAAGGTTATGAGAGAAAAATCTTGGTGAATTTATTTTTATTAGAATGATTTATTTTACAGTAAAGGCTTCATATTTTTAATCAGTTATTTGTAAAAGAAAGGTGACATGTTTAACACCATGGATCCAGTAAATTAACAAACTACTATGATGGATTTTTCTTTACAATCATTGATCATTATCAATATTTAAGAATAACTTTTGTTTACAAATTCGTTTTAATAAATAATGGTTCAAGAAAAAACTTTTTGAAAATTAGTCTGTTAGTTTCCAAAGAAAAAAATATCTTAAAAACTGAACTGTGAGTTTTCAATCGTTACGTTTTAGTGTTATCTCAGCAAAGACAAATTTGGTGATAAAAATCGATTTGTTGGTCTTTCGTAAAATTAAAAAAAAAACATACGCCATAATGTAATCTTATAAAAAAAGGGGGGGGGGGGGCGATTGGAAGAAATTCAATATTGATCCTTCAAGGGACAAGTGAACGTGGGAGATATTCATTCCCTACTGTAAAATATTGAGTTTTTGGTTGATTAATGTCGGGTGTGTCTGGCGTACCGAATAATATATGATAGGTACATGTAGGTCTTGTAATTGAGACCGCCCGTGATACGGTCGGAAAATTTCGACTGCCTATGAAAAAGGAGGGACAGAAAATTGGCCTAATACCAGGCTACTTACAGTCCACTCGAAGAGTTGTTGCAAGAATTCAACGTCCCCATTCGGACGTGGCTGAGCACAGCCCACTGGACGTTCCATTTTCATTACTGCTAAGGTTATCACATGATTGCCGGTCAGAAGAAGACCTGAAACGACGCTATTTCTATAGTTACTCTAGTTCGCTAACGAATTCGCTTCTTGTTCCATTGAATATAAAGGAAAGAGTTATCTAATATATATATATATATATATTTTCTTGAACTACTATAAATAAAGTAGTTCATTTTAAAATGTATTGTTTAAAGGTTAAGAAAACAATAAGTTAAAGTGGCTTGTACATACATGACTTCATGGCTAATACCAAAAAGGTATAGCCAATTTCCCGTCAGTTATTTTTTTTATTTTTGGTTCACATGTTCAAATTTAATAAATTGATGAATTTAATAATTTATTGATATCCTAAATCCTTGTTAATATATTTTCTTCGGTAGAAAAGAAAGTTAATCTTCTCATCTGGACTTTAATCTGTATATCTATTACCTATTTTGGGATTGAAAAAATATCTTTAAAAAATGCGGTTTCGAGCCTATTTCTTCATTTTAATTTGTTTACACGTTCAGCAATAACTGATACAAATATGATATATTACCAATGATAAGGCCATATATTTGAAGCTGTTCAAAATTTTGTACATTATAGGTACGTGTATCAGATCGGACATTTTTTTTATTTGTTCTATATAAATAATCTTACTATAAGTTATCTCAGGTCTAAACAAAATGTTGCTATGAGTGTTCTAATGAGTTTTGTTTGATAATTTTTTGTTTAATTCAGTTAAAAGTTTGGTTTTTTTTTTACACGAGAAGGTCTGCTAAAAAGTTTATGATGATCTCTTTTTTTTTTTCAGCATAACAAACGGATACTCTTTAATGTACACTAGGTGGACTTTCCTCTGTTCCGATGAAGGCAGTGCACGTCTTTCATTTAAAAGATTAAATCGTAGTTTTGCAACAGACGGCGGAACATCGGGCATTGACTTACCATTTTATAATTTGTAACAATTATGATTTACCATATATTTATGAGTTATAACAAAATTATTTTTTGTACATCTTTATTTAAGATGATCGAGATTTGAGAATGATATGAAAATAATAAAATATATATTACAAAAAAAAAGTTTATCTCAGGTCTAGTTATCTAGTATGAAATATATCCACTGGAAATAAGCCCTTTAAAACACAAATCTCCGTTTACTCATTGCGAAGTTTATTTGCTAGTGTTTTTTTAATGATTTTATTATATTATCTTTTTTGTGAAATTTTTGAGTGGTTGAACATGAAATGGACACCGATGCTACAAAGAAAATTTGTTTAATGTCATCTGTTGCAATATATACTAAGTATTACACGTGGACAGGATGTTCCTCAGAAAATTAAGGTATTCAAAATAAGTTATACACACCCCAAGGGTACACGCCACTGTTATATGGAAAATTACTGGGTCGCCAGTAAACTGGTAATCAGCCATGCAACTAATCAGTTGACTGACCATGCCACTACAATTTAAAAAGTTTGTCGTTAGATCAAAATGAAATATTTATTTTAATTTAAAATTGAAGAACTAAAAGGATATATCGTAATTATGAAGGGAAATAATTCAACAAAATCGGATTATTTCCCAAAAGATTATATTTTTGTAAAAAAATTTCCGGGGAAAATAGAAAACTGTATATATAAAGGGTCCCATCAAGGATTTTATAGAAATCCTTGGTCTCATGAAATGGATCTCACACAGACATGCATAATTAAAATTTATACATTTATTGATTCTATGATTTCTTGAGAAATCAGGAGCGAAATATAACAAATATTTAGTTTTGATATTAAATTAAATTTGCCTTTCCTCGCTATAATTCATTTGACATAACATTGAGGGATTTAAGGGTTTGTCCGTACAACGTGTTTGTCATTAGTATTTCACATAACTTATTGTTTTCACGCTTTGCCTCGGAGCTCATTATTCAGACTGTTTCAGACAAGATGATGAAAATAACGTGCAAGGCACTTTTTTCAATTATCGTGAAGTGCACTCTCCCCCCTCTTCAAGAAGAATGCAGGACAGAAAGTCACAGGACAAAAAGTCACGGACGAAAAGTCACAGGACAAAAAGTCACAATTCAGTTTTGAGATTATTTTTCTCTGAACAAGAAAACACTAATTTTAAAAATAAATTTTTGATTTTTTCTTGAACTATAATATATGAAGCAACATTGTAATAAAATTTATTCAATAAATATCAATGATGATCAAATAATTGTAATGATAACAAAATGTCAAAGTGGTTGGGCACTTAAATGGCTGCATGGTTCCAAAAAATATATCATTTGCATGATTAAAATTTAATAATTTTTCATTTATCAAGGCTTATGAACAATTTCCTAAACTTAAACATGAATAAATGTAAAAAAAAAGAAATTATTTGAAGATCTTTCTCTTATATATTCAAAAAATTGTCAACAAATAATTTGAGACTTTTTGTCCTGTGACTTTTTGTCCTATCCAATTTGTGACTTTATGTCCTGTGACTTTTTGTCCTGTGACTTTCTGTCCGTTTACCTTCAAGAATTGTATATTTATAAATCCTCGTCCTTTTTAAAATTACCACACTCTTTGTGATTACCGTTATGCTATTATTCTAACAGTAACCCGGGACTTGATTTACATGTAATATCAGGGGCGATTCCAGCCAGGATAAAGGGGGTCCAAATATATGTCTCCATTAAATGCATTGATCGTTCACCAAAAGAGGAGTCAAACCCCCGGATCCCATCCTCCTTCGATCCGCCACTGATTGTGAATATAAATATAATTGTTACTTATTAGTCATAGACTAGTACTAGCTCCGAGCACCTGTTTTGGGATATATACAGCTAATTAACCGTAAATAACTGCGAGATAATGAATAACAAGTTGATTCTCTGCTAATTAATGTAACCTGCAATTCACCCTGATTCATTTGTGAGACCACCGACACTAATAATATTACCTCAAAGTTAGCAGGTTAGAGGTTCTCCGTTACTGGGAACTTCATCTTTCAATAATTCAATTATCGGATCCGATCAATTTATTGGTTCCTTTCCCCCTGGTATTAATGATCCTTTTGCAGTGACGATGACAATCATAGGTATACTCATTACGGTTGATTTTGCATGATAACATACATGTTATGTCAACTCACTTCTACTTCCTACGGCGTCAGAGAGAGAAAAAAAAGCCTTGCAATGCGTCATTATTATTTGGACTACTTCCATATCACTTTAAAAAAAACAAACAATAATTTATTTCACTGATTGAGATTGGGCTGACGATACATTTCAGCATGTGAAATCTTAACTGTTATTCCAAGTACATAGTTATCATCCATTGATTTTCATTTTTTACAAAAAGATTCCTTAGTGTGGACCATGTATTACTTCAAAATTTATTTATTTATATTTTTTTATAAAAAGTAAACTTAATTGTACAATGAAGTAGGGGGATGAAATTATTTTATTTTAGTTTAAGAATCACTCATACTTCTTGTATGATGTCACCTTAGCCTACAAATTACCAAAAAGAAACACATTTTTATTTCCTCTAGCTTATGCATTGTTATGTGTATGCCTTTTCATATACATGTAAAAATGTGTTACTGCCTATATTGACCTTAAATGTTATTCAGTTTTGCATGGCCTAATGGGACCTTGTTCTACTCATGTGGTATGCTATAAGCAGATAAGTAACTTTCTTTCCTTTTGAAATACAAATATCTTTATAAATATACCTGAAGAATTTTTATATTAGCCTCCCCCCCCCCCCCCCCTTAATTTGAAATCTTTATTTTCAGGCATAGGCTCATATAAATTGGACTTTTGAAGAATTGAAATAAATCTGATACAGCAAATGAGTATTCAGCTGCTTTACATTAAAATACATCATGTACATACATGAATAAGAATAAGAATAAGAATTTTATTAGTTTAAAATCCAAACAATAGGATTGTTACTAAATAAACAAACCAATACAAAACCAAAACAAAACAAACAAACAGACAGACAGACAGACAGACAGGCATATTAATGACAAAACGATAGACATTAAACAATATAAACATGTAGCATTGAAAAAAAAAATAAATAAACATGTGACATACACAATTATATATAAATAAACATGTGACATACACAATTATATATAAATAGTTATAAAGACATTTAAAAAGCAGTTTTTTGCAATATTTAAATTATGTAGGCCCAAATCTTGATAGTTAAATGTTAAACATTAAACGGCAAAAAATTAACACCCAAAGTTCAAATATAAGAATGAACTTATAGTCTTTAATGTATATATGCTATTGCCACGAAACTAGGTAAACTGTCTTATAATTCCCTAATCTTAGTTCATGCCAAGTTTGATTAAAATTAGTATTTCTACTCTGACTACATGCTCTATTAGGTCTATAGTGTGGATAGTGTATAACTTTCAAATTATTTTCATACTCCTTCCAAATTACATTGGAAAAAATGTGGCAATTTTTTTAGGTTAAGGATGTTCGCTCCTCTTGATTTTGAATTTTTACCAGATATTCGGAATCCTCTGGTTTTATCCATGCAGTGCCATTAAAAAATTTTGCCCGCAAATCCCTACTTTTCTCTTCATATTTTTATTTCATAGTTTAAGCCATATTTGAAAATCTTATAAAATCCTTGTAATTTTTCCATAGCTTTTGAAAGAAAAAGGTGCCAGTGTTAAGTGTATGAAAAGTCTAGAGAGAATCACTTCCCGCCAAATTTTAAATGGCTTATATCTTAAAAACAAGCACATGGACCCTTCATTTTTCTGTTTTTTTAGTTCCTTTATTCATATACTTTCAATTTATAACAGTCTTTTAAAAAGCTTGTTATTTTGAAACAGAGTAGCGAACATCCTTAAGTAGTGATTTGGTAATGTATAGTTTGAAAAGGTCAAATATTAGTATGTCTGAAGTTGTCAATCTAAATTATAGACCCTTTAAACATAAAATTGTCAGTTTTTGGCTTATATCTCAAACACTAAAGCATTCAGAGCAAATCTTATGTGAGGTAAAATTGTTCATTATTTCAAGTTCTATCAGTCATTAAATTTTCAGATGAATCTAACAATCCATTGTTGGGTTGCTGCCACTAGATTGGTAATTTTAAGGAAACTTTGCAGTATTTATAGGACCGCAAAAAAATTTTGCGGTCAAAATATTGGTATGACGTTGACGTCGTCGTCGTTGTCCAAAGACACATTGGTTTTCGCACTCTAACTTTAGTTTAAGTGAATGGATCTCTATATGAAATTTTACCTTAGGGTTCAATACCACAAAAGGAAGGTTGGGATTGATTTTGGTAGTTATGGTACCAACAGTTAAGGAATAAGGGGCCAAAAATAAGCATTTTTGTAACTTCCAGACATAACTTGTGTGTTAGTGTATGGATCACTCTGACATTGTACCACAAGGTTCCATATCACAAAGGGAATGCTGGGATTGATTTTGGGGGTAACTGCCTCAAAATTTTAGGAATTAGGGGCCAAAAAAGGGGCAAAAAACAAGCATTTTTCTAGTTTCATGACAATAACTTGTGTGTAAGTGTATGGATCTTTCTGAAATTGTACTACAAGGTTTTATATCACAAAGGGAAAGCTGGAATTGATTTTGGGGGTAATTGCCCACAATGTTTAGGAATAAGGGGCCAAAAAGGGGCCAAAAATAAGCATTTTTCTAGTTTCCAAACAATAACTTGTGTTCAAGTGTATGGATCTCTCTGAAATTGTACTGCAAGGTACCATACCACAAAGGGAAGGCTGGGATTGATTTTGGGGGCAATTGCCTCAAAATGTTAGGAATTAGGGGCAAAAAGGGACAAAAACAAGCATTTTTCTAGTTTAAGGACAATAACTTGTGTGTAAGTGTATGGATCTTTATGAAATTGTACTACTCGGTTCCATATCACAAAGGGAAAGCTGGGATTGAGTTTGGGGGTAGTTGCCCTAAACGTTTAGGAATTTGGGGCCAAAAAACAAGCATTTTTCTAGTTTCCAGACAATAACTTGTGTTCAAGTGTATGGATCTCTCTAAAATTGTACAGCAAGGTACCATACCACATAGGGAAGGCTGGGATTGAGTTTGGGGGTGATGAATCATAAGGGGGTTCAAAACATTTTGGGGGGATTTTTTTTCCTTTTGTTTTCTTTAAAATTTGGTTATTTCTGAATGATTTATATATAAAAGCAAATAATAATGATATGGTTTGAATAGGTAAATTAGAAATTTTTAAGTTCTTAGATCCCATTCATTTTGTGAGCCTCTTGTTTTAATTGCTTCTGTAAGTAATATATTAATTTGAAATTTTGACGACAGACACATCCAAATTAGTTCAAAGCCAATAACAATTAATAAAAAAATCATGTCTGTGAGCACTCCACCTAACCATAATCTAGGACAGTGGTTCAAATAGCACATCATATGAACAAACTGTAAAAACTGTTGCAAGTGGCTCAACTCATTATCACTGCAAGGCACTAAAACGACTGATATTAAGTCGTGGACACAAAGCACTGAAATAACAGAACTCATAATCATGATTAGTAAGAATATCAAATTTAAGTTTCTCAAAATGTTTATATTAAACATGATAAAATAAGCTTATTTCATATTGCTGTTTTTTTCTCAATTTATTTTTTTGTGTATTTATAGGTGAGACTTCTTGGTTTTCATGATCATCAACAGGTCAATACAGAAGAGTACTTTTCTACATTGTGTGCTAATTGGATTAATGTGAAATAAAATGTGTGCTTACCTGGAAAAAGAAAATAGGAAATTTCTACAAAATGGCTGTAAACAAAATGGAGTACAATCATAGATGCACAAGAACACAATAGTGTAATTGCAACAACCTACATATTCACTG